CTTTCTCGCAAAATGATTTTGGTAGAGTACCAAATTACCGAGAGCGAAACTGATATTATAGTGAATGATGTGTATTATGACAGATTATGTTGATGTTGTTACCCAAAAGGTACCAAAAAACTTAGTTTCATTACTTTTTTTTTTTGCTAAATTTAAAAGTACATGTTTTATTTATAAGAAATACTAAGCTAAAACACTTTTTATCTGATACTTTCTCGAAAACTGGTGAATTCTCATCGCCAGGCCTTGGCTCACACGGAATGGGCTGTTGTCACTCTGAATTTTGGATTCTAGTGTTTTTACCTACACATTTTATTTTTAAGCTGGTTCGTCACTGAAAGGTTCAATTGCAATATGTTTGGTATCATACAAAAACCAATAAAAATATCTATTGAAAGATGTATCTGATGACACATTTTATTAATTTTGTGACCAAAATATTGCCAAAAAACTTATTTTTTATGACTTTTGGCAAACTTTAATACATTGTTTTATTAAATAAGTACAAGAAATACTAAGCTAACAACCTTTTCGTATGATACTTTCTCAAAAACTGACCATATACATAATAAAAAACCTATAAAAAAAATTCGGACATTATCCATTTTGTATTTCTAAGATATAGTATGTCAAAGGTCATCTCTCTGAAAAATGTCAAATTGTGCGCCCCAGCGAAACCGGTAACCAGGAAACGTGACGTCACACTTGCTCTCTATATGCATGCTTGATTTCTCAAAGAAGAGATACCTGGTTCTTAATTTATACCCCATTCCCGGCAAAACATTACGACAGTATTTCGTGTCTAAATTCGATAAAACAGCAGTGAAGGTCTCCAAAAACCACTAAATTTGGTCATTTTTCAACTTCTTTTTGTAATAACTTTGCAAATACTTCATCGATTTTTTTGGGGAAAAGATAAAACTGATCGGAATTTAATAATCATTACAACAATTACAAATTTATAAGTGTAATGTTAACACCTTTATCGGACTTTTGATTTTCATCAAACCCACTCGTGTATTTTTTCAGTGTAAAAACAGTGAAATCTGCCGAAATATCCCAGCTGTCTTTAACATAAATCCTTCTACAGTCGAAAGTTGTGGGCCGATTTCTTTTGGGAAAAGTCCATTCGAAAGCCCTTTTTGACTTCTAAATGTATTCTAAATATAAGATTGATCGGTTGAGTAGTTTTATCGGACCAATCAGATTTATGAAAATCATCCAAAACTCCCCTCACCATATGCTTAAGCATTACAAGCATAATAATGGCAGTCAGACGCTCACGTGGATGCAGAGCTTGAAATATACTCTGGAAAAACAGATAAAATGACCAAATTATCCTTATTTTTAAACACTAAAATTATGATCATAGGCAAAAGAAAAGGATAGAGATTCAAATGATGTAAATTACATGCAGTAAAAACGTATAGATTTTTAGTACGAGCAGTATATAAATGTCAGTTTTCGTAAAACACCCCGTTTTTTCGAGCGGTTCACTGGCTTGAGATGGTCGATTCCATTTTCTTATGTGTACATGACTACGTACATGTGAGTGGTGAAGACTGTAAAGCAGGGTAGAATATGTCTTCTTTTGAGGGTAAAAATAAAACTGTTTTGTATCTACCAAAGATTTTTACTCAAGAAATATGATACTGAATGTTATTTAGATAATTATGTATTTTGTTTAGAATAAAATTTAAAGTCCATATGAAAATGTTATGGCGTTTAATTTGTAGTTTTGGAACCCCCTAAATTACAAATGAACTGTTCCAAACCCGTTACGCGCTTGACTGATCACACACAGTGTACCGTTAGCGTATTTTTTTTTCCCGTACGAAACATTTGTATGAAACTTCACTCGGGCCATCTCGGATTGACTCGAGTGAGTACAATACGAGGAACAAAAGCAGACACTTCGCAATGTCGTGACGCTCGAGTTTTACTATTATTGCTCTTTCTATGTTTACCTTCGGTTGGCCTATGAAATTTCACGGACTTATGTGATGTACGTCACTGTGTAACTAACTGTGACCTTCTTGGATGTTATTAAATGTTAGTATATTATCTACAACAACAACAGCTAGTACCTCCTGTTATAAAGTGTAGATAGGTACAGTTATACCAAAGGCTAGAGAGAAAGAGGATAAACTATAGGCCTAACTACAGGCTGAGGTCTTACCTAGGCCCCTCCTTAAACTAGGCCTAGGGTCATAGGCTGACACAACAGTAAGGCTTCACATACTGACATGGACTGAAATTTTTGGGGGGAAAATGGGACAAAATTGAAGCATGAAATGAAAAATAGAGCGCACAAGAGAAATATTAAATAAATAACATACCATTCCGGCGTTATTGAACTTGTCAAAACTATCATTGTAATGTAATTAATGTTAAATAATAATAATAATTTCAGCATTAATTACCTTTGGCCTAAGCCTTGTAATGAAGAACCTACAGATACTGTACTATTTACTAGGCCTATAAATAATAATCTCCCAAGGGGAATATCTTTTGTGTTATTTCCCCTTAACGTCGTTTTTTTAATTGTCCTCTAATTCCTCCATTGTCTAAGTTCCCCTTAAGGTACAGGTAATAATAATAATTAATTAATAATAATAATTATCATTTCAGCATTATTAACCTTGGCCTACTTGTAATGAAGAACCTATTAGTATTTCAAGGCCTATATAATAAGCTAGCCCAAGGGGAATATCTTTTGTGTTATTTCCCCTTTGCCAAATTCCCCTTAACGTATAGGTAATAATAATAATAATTATTATTATTATCATTTCGGCATTACATGCAATTAACTTGGTCTAGCCTTGTAATCAAGAACCTGCCGATTACTATGCCTAATATTAATAACTAGCTCATTTTTACATTCATTTGGTGCTCTGCCATTTTGGCAGGTCTTATGGCATCCAGTATTTTAGAGCTGCCTACTCTCAGCTCTTCTCTTAATTTGAAAATAACTGTCATTCTGTTTCATTTGATCAGTGATGACGAAAAACGCGCTTTTCCTTACACTGCATTGTGCTTTTCCCAGAAAGCGTTTTTAGTAGGCCTACTTGTAGGCCTAGGTAATTATGCAAAACCCAGGCCTAACTAAAAAATTAAAATTGTCATAATATGTAACTCAAGTTAAAATAACACTTTTATTTACTCGTGCAGCTTAATCAAATATTATATGTCATTTTAAACGACCCATTGGTATTAACATGGTAACATCAATGTATTTTTAAAAATCAGACAACGACGTTCTCTCAGAAGTTGGTTGTTCTGTAGACGTTTATCTGTTGATGACCTTTTGACCTCCTGAATTCTGCAATGAGATTTTCGGGTCGATTCAGCCGAGACGGCCCGAGTGGAGTTTCATGTAAATGTTTCGTACGGAAGAAAAAAATCGCGTACCGTTAGCCCATGAGGAAGCTACCTTGAGGTCGAATTCAAGGAATAAAATTGCACTGCTAGCAAAATATTGTCGTAATGCTTCGCTAAAAATATTTTTTTTTTTTAGAAAAAATGCATGCATTACTCTAATCATTAATAAACAATGGAAAAATATTGGCATAAATTTTAGTTTTATGCAAAAGAATACAAAAGTTGGTACTAACCCCTTGTCGGAAGTACCATCCCCATGTCGGGGAAGAGCTGGCGCCACAACTGCAACCCATACATTCGCGATAGTATACAACACCTTGAATTAGTGTTAAGTGGAAATGCAGTCAACTTAACATTAAATGCATTCGACTTAACTGCATTTGCAACGTATTACACTTAACACTAATTCAATTGAATTTAACTGGAATGCATTTAATGTTAAGTTAAATGCAATTAGCACTTAACACTAATTCAGAGGTATATGATAAAACGGCTTGCCATATGCACATACGGTAGTACTGCTCGCACTAAACAGCTTACTAATATACTCGACCTGCCTCAAAGCCGTGTGGCCGCATGGCCGAAAATGACACTTTTAAATAGTAAAATTCATCATCATCACATCACCATTATAATATACAGTCAGAATTAAGAGCCAGAAAATTTTCATGATCTTTTATCAGCTATTTTCGGCAACCATAGAGATCTAATTAGATGTGTGATGTATGTTACCATAGAAAATAAAACTTTGTTTGTCTTTGATGTATTTACTTTACTTACTTCATGAAACCTGTGAGTCAACACGTCTCTCAGCTCCACCACATTTGGGGCTGAGGTGGTAAAATTTGGGGAAATTGTACCTCTAGATTGCCGGATATGACACTCTTATATAGTAAAATTCATCATCATCGATCTAATTAATCGCTGTGATGTACCATAGAAAATATTACTTTTATCTTTGCAATCTTATCTTTGCAAGCTTTTTCTTTAATGGCCAAAGTATGCTTCAGTTGTACTTTCGGCGCTCGCAACATTGATTTTTCCCGACGATCTTGCTGGAAATTCTCTGACAGGGGGTAAAAGCGGAGGCCCAAAGGCCCCGACAGGGTCCTATGTACATTATTGAAAACTGTTTTCTTTTATCTGTGACTTAATGTGATAAATTTTATATGGTCTGGAATGAGTAATTGAATATTAAAATTTTTCAGGCTTTCGCCTTTTTAAGAGGCAGAGAGTCAATCAGTAGACATTTTGAGAAAATAAGAAGTATAAAAAATACTGTAATGATGTATTCATTTTCTTTTTGCAATACCCCAACAGCCCATTCTAATACCTGCATAATCAATTGGTCTGGGAAACAAACGAACTCATTGCTATAAAATTCTTATTAAAAGATACTATACACGCAGCACGACAGACACGCCGACAGCACGCCAGGCAGTACGATAGAGAGAGATACAACCACAGGCAAACAGAGATCAATACATACCATTCTTGGTAGAGGTAATACATACACCCCTTTTTGGGACACCCCTTTTAAGGGGACACGTTTCTACGAAACGAGGAGAATATACCTTTTAACACTGCGGCTAACCTTTATTAAGGAGACCCCTAATAAGGGACGGGGATACCTTCTGAGTGTGCAAAATGGTCAAATAAATACGATTTAATCCCTTTTTTTTTTTTATTATATCAAAACAACTAGGCCTATCAGTAGTCATATAATAAGAAAAAAAATAATCATTCAAATTTATATTCTCAGTTTTTTAATGGTACTTTTTACATGATCAGTGTAGGGCCGGAAAAAAAAGGTGTTTTTTAGCCAATGTTGCTTGGTTGGAGGGCCGCAAATATAGGGTTTTTGATTCATTTTCGCGGGCAGCAACAAAAACAATAAGAAGGCCTGTGTGCTATAATTCCTCTACTATATGCGAACGAAAGTTTTACCTGTGTCATTTTGCATAATATTAACTACTAACAGTCAGAAGCCGCGCTAGCTGGGGTTCAGGGGGTGGCAAAGGACCCCCCGCCCGTCTGAGACCTCTGGAGCCCCGCTTGGAATCCCCCACCCCTTTTTTTTTTAAAAGAAAATCCAGCAAGGTCGTTGTGGGGGGGGGGGATCAAATGTCGAGCACTGAAAGTACAATTCAAGAATGCCTTACTAAGCTGTCAATTTTAGAGATTATAAACTACTTAGTGCGAGCAGTGTCGTATATTTTTGCAAACGTATGGGTCGCAGAGGTGGAGCCAACTCTTCCTCGACAGTGGGCACGTACCTCCGACATGGGGACTCTTAACATGCATGGTTTTATAATAATGAAGCCCATAATTAACACTGAATTTTATTATTTAAGAAAATAAAACTATACTTGAATTATTAATCGTTGTTGAGTCTGTAACAATACACGAGATTCAATGCTAATGTGACATAATAATAGGCCTAATAATAATTATGATAATAACATGATGATCATGAGGATGATGATGATGATGATAATAATAATAATAATAATAATAATAATAATAATAATAATAATAATAATAATAATAATATTTGTCATCTGAAGAACCCACTGTAAATAAGTCTTCATGCACAGACGGAAAATACAAAATATTAACAAGATTGTTAAATTTGTTCAGCCTTTTGCATTATGTTTTGTTTCACCTTTTCTTACAGGTTGTGCTGCCAATCCATACTTAACGTTTTTTAATTATAGGTCAGCTTTTAACAATATTGGCGAGCTCCAGTGCTACCCAACAGATAGTAGCACAACAATATCCATGGGAAAGTTATTTAAAATATCTAATACTGACTCGCTTGCTGAACCACCTTTAACAGCTCAGGGTGCTCATCCTTATGCTAAGGAAGTAGCTATACCTTATGATGGAAACTTCTTTGGAGTATATTACTGTGAAGGTGTACTTAATGGTGAAACAACCATTGTGAAAACTACAGTTGTGGATCTAGTGGGCGCTTCAGATTGTAAGTATTCTTGTGCTACTCTTATTTCAAGGCAGTGGCTATTGTAACACCGGTCGCAAACGCTGACTAACAATCGATCACATCATCTACCACTGCCCTGACTTTAAACCACTCAAAAGGTGAACAGAGACTCCAAGACCTGGAAGATGAAGACACCAGGGCATGGCTTCGAGTGACCATACTACCAGGGAACAGTAATTTAACTGTTCCTTGATACATACCCACCTAATGTTGATTCTCATAGGATATAAGTAGAAGAGTAATAATAATTATGTTTTTTGTTTCTGCTTAGAAAAAAATAAGTTTAATATAAATAAGGGTAAACAAATATATCCGACATTGTAACTTTGAAGGCGGTTGTTTGACAGTGTTAACTGCTTAGAGTATGGTAATGTGTGGCCATTATTGAGAGCACCATATTTACCAACTGTTAGTAAAGGTCTAAAATGTATCTCCTTTATTTATATATTGGATTTTCTTTAGAGGTATGAGCTGGTACAATCATAATTAGGTAAATATAAATTACAATATTCTTAAAATATTGTCTAAATTAATTATCTTAATAAAAATACAGATTACACGTTTCAGATTAAGTAGGTCATGGTTATATTTTTTGATAGGCCTAACAACAAAAACAACAATGATAATAATGAAAATGATAACATAATGATAAAATAATAATTATCTAAGAATTTATAAACAATTTTTTTGTCCAGCGGAGGTTATACCAACAAACGAAAGAACAAGTATCACCGCATCTGTTGGAGAATCTGTTATAGTATCATTCGATGTGACAGCGTCCGGTAATCACATTTGGAGGAAAGATGGCAAACTGCTAGATAACTATGAGAACCATTATGATGATTCGAGCTTAAGTTTTACCAGTGTAAACGGTGATGATGGCGGCATGTATGAACTTCACATAGATGGACAAAGGGATGAATACAAACATTCCTTTATTGAACTGATTGTGAGAGGTTGGTTATTGCTTTTTTGGTATTTGAATAAAAGTTTTAAATATTTCTTCATATTTTTCTCTGGATCCGACCCTATGACAAACTACACACATACAACATGGTATAAGCTCACTGTGCAGAGCACTCAAAATACAGAACATTTTTGGAGTAAGAAATATTATGCTTTCCTAAGCTCATATTAAATGCATACTGTACCACTACAAAATGGTCTGGGATATAAGAGGTATTTCGGATTCCATTGTTTAAAACCTTCAACAATTAATGGCATCTGTTTACAGTGTACATATCTTAACACATTTAAATAAACATCATGCAGACTCTTAATTCATGTTTTATTTTTTTTTTTAATTAATATTTCTTTTTTATTAATAATAGTCAGTGTTAGATTTTTCTAACCTCACTACTTAGTTCGTATAAAATTAAACCTAAATGCATTTTATTATTAGGTAAAAAATTATGAGATTTTTTTTTCATTCAGAATGTGCAGCTGGCCGCTGGGGTGCACCTGAATGTACAGGTATTTGTAATAATTGTTATAATGGTGGCGTATGCGATGACAAGTCAGGTAACTGTATTTGTGCACCAGGGTTTAAAGGAGAAAGCTGTGAAGATAGTAAGTCAAAACAAGTTGTTTTGGTACCTCATATCTACATCAAGGTAGCTTTTTAGACCTTGCATAATAATCATTTTCTGCTGTTATGATAGAAGAGAAAGATAAAAGAAGGAAAAGATAAAGAAAAAAAAGTAATGTAAAAGAAAAATATTGAAAAAGTAAAAAAAGAAAGAAATCAATGGGAAAATATGAAAAAGAGAAAAAGAAAGAAAAACGAATTAGAAAGGAAAAGTAAGGAAAACTAAAGAAAGATAAATATGAAAACAAAGAGGGAAATAAACGGAAAGAAAAGCAGAAGCTAAAGAAAGAGAAAGGAAAGAATAAGAAGTTTGAAAAGAAAAAAAATACAAATAAAAGGCAAGAAAAGAAAAAAAAATGGAACAAGAAAAGAAGGGAAGGAAAGAAAAGATATATTAAAAGAAAGAAATTATTGGAAGGAAAATAAAAAGGTAGACAGAAGGTAGTAATGAAAAGGAAGGAAAAGGGATGAAAAGATATGAAAAATGTAAAAGAATGGTAAGTAAGTTAATAAGAACAGGAATGGAAATACTTAAAATTATTTAGTTAAACAAATAAATGTGATTAATATTCTTTATAAAAAAAACAACCCCAGTATTCCTTTCCAGGACGTTTTTTCTTTAGGCTATCTAATACTGGTTTATTTATAAAGGATGACAATCACATACTATTTCGCTGCTGCTGCCGCCGATGCTGCCGCCGCTGCTGCCGCTGCTGCTGCCGCCGCCGCCGCCGCCGTTTTTGTTGTTGTTGTTGTTGTTGTTGTTGTTGTTGTTGTTGCTGCTGTTGTGACTTTTCCCCTGCAGTACTGGAAAAAGCAATTGTTTTTGTTCTGATTTTTTTTTCTTTTTTCTTGCATATATTTTTCATATCTTTTTGCACTGTTTTTATCTGGCCGTCACTTTGGTCTTGCCATGCTTATAATTTGTCTGTGTTTCCCGAAGCATAGGCCATATATCAAGGATGTGCCTCCTAATATTTAGTGTCAGTCTATGGTGGGGTGTGTGTGAGGACCAAATAAAGGGATTTAAGGTCAAACAGTCTATACACCGAATATTTAAAAAACCGGTCAGTTGATGTGAATGAAACTTACGGGAAAGTTTAATCAGGTTACAAGGCAGAAATTTTTATGTGTTAGAGACGATCCAGTGAAGGGTGTAAAGTTGAGGGGTTTTTTTCAATTTTTGAGGACTTCGACCTAAGTCAAGGTCGAGTAAAGAAATGATTAAATTTTTGTGACGATCCGGAGTAGGGTGTAGATATAATAATAAACTTTATTTATACACGTGTGGCTCAGACACAGCCAATAGCTGTTCTTCCCTGGGGCCGTGTTTAAATTTTAAACTTTAAAACAGCACACAAAAAGTTAAGCAAGAAAGAAGATAAAAATTCTACAGCAAAAATAAAGAAAATTAAAACAAAGTACAGTATAAATTTGAACCAGGCATATTTGCGTAAAACCACGATAAAAACTTAGGTAAATTAAACATTGTTTAAATTACTTCTTTAAAAGTGTTAAATGCAGTTTGTTGTCTATCAGAAAGAACATCCAAAAGAACATCTCCTCTATAAGAAATACTTCTCTTTTTAAATTCAGTTTTAGGTAACGGAATTTTAACATCAAGAGTATTTCGACGAAGCCTATAATTAGATTTATTGTGTAAAAACAAATTGTGAAGATACACAGGAAATATATGATATAGAGTTTTATACATAAACATGGTAAGATGATAAATCTTGTCGCTTGGAAACTGTGGACCATTTAAGCCTTTCAAGTATCACTGGGGGTATCCCAGGGTACATTAAGAATAATTGTAGCGGCTCTATTTAGGATTTTTTGGATTTTTTGTTTAAGGCTAAGGCTATGGAACGGAATAAATTGCTTTGCTCGTTTTTTTCATATAAATATTTTTGAATACCTTATTACAAACATTATTTACGTGCTCATGCCAGTTTAAGGAAGCATCAATGGTGACCCCAAGATGGTTACTTGTGTGAAACCCGGTGAGGGGTTCTCCATTAATTTGAATATTTAAACTTGTTATTAATGCGTAAGAGTTTTTGCCTTGACCAAGTAACATAAATTCTGATTTCTTATGATTTAGATAGAGTTGATTATCTTTAAGCCATTTGCTTACGTTATTAATATTATAATTTAATTTATCAACAATATTTGGTTCAAAATAAAAACTTGCATTATTAATCTCATCCTGATCCGGTTGATTTGCATTTATATTTTCAGGATTATTTATCAAATTTAAAGCATTACTACTATAATCGATTTTAGATGTTAGATTTGGTTTTATTCGTGAAGTAATTATTTAGAGTATCGGCAATATCTTTGGGTGAAGTAATTTGCTTATTTTCAGTTTTAGTTAAATTTATGGTGGCACTCGACTTTTTCAAAGGTACGATTTTTCTCAGGTAATCCCAAGTACTTTTATTATTATTTCTAGAGGTTTCAATTCCATCCGTAAGCTATTGGAGCTTACTGTTTTTAATCTCGGTATTTACTTTTTTTTAGTCGTTTATAGGTTTCACAATCACCATCATTATTAGAGGGTATTGCTTTGGTTTTACTTTTGTCACGATCTCGTGACAAAAGTTATAATGTATTTCTTAACTTGCCATGGAGACACTTTTTGTCTAACACACGATCTGAGGACCATTGAAAGGAAAACGTCCCAGACCACATATTTCGAAAACGGATCAGTTGATCTGAATGAAACATTCGCTAAAATTTTAACCAAGTTACAAGGAAGATAATATGTGTTGGTGACGAATCAGTCAAGGGAGTGTCATTTAAATTTTTGAGATCTCAGTTGTAAATATCTATAAAACGTTTTCGATGGGTGAAATGAAACTGAATTTTTGTGATGATCCGGAATGATCATGTGAATATGAGGACCATTAGGTCCCAGAAAACGTCCCAGACTAGATATTTCAAAAAGGGGCAACAGATCTGAATGAAACTTTCTAGAAAGTTTAACCCAAGTTACAAGCAAGATATTAAATTTGAGGGTAATTTAAATTGCTTACGGTACGTCCCAGTTATAGATGGTTAAAAATGACACTTTGCAGAATAGTTTTTAATGGTAAAATGAAGAAATGATCCAATTTTGGTGACGATCTGCAGTAGGTTGTGAATATGAGGACCATTTAAAGATTTTTTGTTGACAGTGAATTAAATAATTTAAACGCAATTTGCGTTTTCTAAAGCGCTTAAACTCAAAACTAACTTGATATGCATGAACAATTTTGCTTTCAGTCAATCGCTATGAACTGAAAATGCACTTTCTTATTCAAGGTCGCAGCCATAGTTCAAGTCTCACTAATAGCGTCGTAGGAAGCTTGGTTTTCCTTTTTTTTTTTTTTTTTTTTTCCCTTCATTTATTCATTTTAACGACTTTTTTTTTTTTTGCAATTTCATCTTCATTTGTCATTGAAGCAATGGGAGAAGCCCTATGTTGTTATGTCAAGTTTATTATTATTATTATTATTATTATTATTATTATTATTATTATTATTATTATTATTGTTATTGTTATTGTTATTATTATTATTATTATTATTATTATTATTATTATTATTGAAATATCACCAATGAATATATTATCAATGAATAGAAATAAATATATTCATTGATAAGTCATTGATTTTTATTTTCAATATAGCTTGTGGTGGTAATCGATTCGGACTTTACTGTGAAATTAGATGTACAAAAAGAATTCAAGATCCTAAAGACTTTTGCAAAGGCCACCATTATTGCTTGTCTAATCCTTATGGATGTACTTGTATAACAGGTTTTACTGGCCTTGATTGTTTAACAGGTAAGTCTACGTTTCATGTATGCCTACTGTTTATGTAGTTATCAGTAAGTGCATATGGTACAAAACCTTCAATATAATTGTCGTGAGTCAAAGTCTGATGTGGTGACACTGCTTGTGTCCCTGGTCAAAACATTGTCTATTTTCGTCCAGAATTGTAAATGGGTAAATGGTTAAAATTCGTTGGAATTAATCGTTCTGTGTTGGTGTTGCGAAGGAAACTTACATTGTGCTGATTATAATTATGTAACAAACATCCATGGGTAGGAAAGGTATCTTTTTGGAGCAAAAGAGGAAAGCATACTATATAAATGTGCATATAATAGATATTGAAATATATTTTATTTTAAAGAAATTATCTTATTGACTGTGGTTATATGAGTTATTGTGGGCCCTAAGTATAAATTCACAAATTTAAATTTAATGTAAATGTGTACAAGAAAAGCAACAAGGAAATTCGGATTAAGTTTCTGGGGACCCGTGAAGTGCCCAAAGTTGACTTGATAAAACCAAGTCTTCTCAGAAAAGGACTTAAAACGGATGTCCAGTGAAACTCATCTGGCTCGTGTGTACTTTAAAGAACACAATGTATTGTTCAGAAAATTAGGGATTTCCCTAAGCTTTGGTTAATTTCAGACACTGTCGTTGTAGAATTATGTGCACTTGAAGTTACTATAAGCACACAGCTATACATAGGCAATTCAGCACAGGCGCGGTCGGTTAACCGCACCATCCATGCGAAGGCTCCATGCGATGGTTCTAAGAAACTAAAGACCATGAGTTCGTATCGCGTCATCTTGTATTCAATTGTTAATTTATAAAGGCATTTTATTTTGTACAAATGATTTAATCTAATTATATTAAAATAAAAAAACTCTTATTATAAGGAACTATATAGTGCTCGGCGGATTGATTAAATAATTAATTAATAAATAGATCTTGTTAAAGTGCGCCACCAATACCAAAGACTGTACATACTGTACTGCCATTACCACGAGGACACTTCGTATAGATGGCGCAGTCGGCTAACTATGTGCTCTAGTGAACCAAAGGCTCTAAGTTCGAATTGCATCTTGGTATTCAATTTCTTTTTCTTTTCAATTTTAAGACATTTTATTTATATATTTTTTTTAAATTTTAAGACTTTTTAATGTTGTACAAGTGAACATTCTAATTAATAAAACAATTCTATCTTATTAGCTTTTCCAAATTTTAGCTCCGATGAGGAGCTCTAGAAATAGCCGACTGATTGATTAATATATCATTTTTGTGCTGATTGCTTAACAGACCATTTTTGTATGGGGTGCCGTTAGGGCCAACATTCTCTACCGCCTCTATTATATTGTCCGATTGCGAGACCTTGTTAATATAAAAATGCACAATGTGTTCTTCCATTTCATTAATTCATTAAACCGTAGGTCATTTAATATTTCCTTCCAACATCAGGTTGTGACTCGGGCAAGTTTGGTGCTGGTTGTAGTCAGGATTGCCATTGTACGTCAGGAACTTGTAACCAGTATACTGGAGAGTGTACGTCAGGTACTTGTGCAACTGGATGGTCTGGAAGTAACTGTCAAGGTAGTGTTTTAAAAATAACAGTTGTTATTACTGGTAAAAGTATAATGTCATTCTAATAGTTTGTAATACTAGCCATTGTATGTATATAATAATTTTATTCTTTTTTCTTTCATCCATGAATGTACATATTGGAAATGTTAAAAACCTGGATTTTTTTTAATAAAGACGTTCAACTAAACATCATTATGGCAAAATAAAGATCATAGCTGAGCTCTCTGTGGGAGCACAGTAGCTTAAAAACCAAGAAGTATAAATAAAGATATAAATATGATTTGGGCTAAGATTAATTATAAAAACTAAGAAATGCATCAACAGCTTTGTATATCATGCTAGTGTAACGTGAATGAATAAATTACCATAGAACATGTACAGTATGTTGTAATATAATCAGTATGGATGTAGCGTTATCAAATAAATATTAGGAATTGATACATGATAGATAAATGAAAGACAGACTAATCTTAACTTTGGGTAATATTTTAATTAAAAACTCGATTAGAATTTAAATATTGCTGATATTGAAGCACTGTAGTACAACTGGTATTAGTTTTGTCAACCCACAATGTGAAAATATTATGTTATATAGATTAGTGATTCAAATCTTACCTCCTGAACATGGAAACAGGCTCTTTTGTAATTATACCTCATTTTTGTGATCATTTTCATAGAACCTAAGCACCTGTTTATTCACCGTATTCCCGTGTTGTTTTTTTTTGTTTTTTTTTTGTTTTTTTTTTTTGCAGTTTCGTTCATATTTTCCGTTAATAATAGTTAAAGAGCTAATAACTCTGTAAATGATTAATTATCAAGATACATAGAAATACTGTATATAAAAATAATAATTAATTTGGTCAATTAATATCTGTTCAAACTCCGATGGTAACTTCCGTTCTTTGGTTATGGTAAAAATATACATCAGTTTCGCTGTAGTTATTTCAGTCTCATTGCATCTTATAATCTAACTACAGTATTTTGGTTACTTCATTAAAACCGGACAAACACATTTTGAAGGTCACACATGCATGCAAAGTATATGAAAAGGTTGGCTTTGTACATGCAGCAGTCATAGTTGCTTTGTAATCACACTGGAAATGTTTGAAATTAGCTTATTTAGAATTCGCATAGTGATGGGAAGAATGTTTATTGATTTCCGTGCATCGGTTTACACAATTCCTTTAAGAGCCTGCTTAATCAAATGTGATGATGTGTAGTCAGAGACGCCTGCGATTTTGTGTGCAAATGAGATAGCGGATAGGTATCCCCGAATTGTGGTATCGCATAGGCCACGGACGAAAGATGTGTTGTAAAAAGCCCTTAGGACGATGCTGTGGCTGAGAGGTGTTAGCAAATCCGTATTTCTCACGAAGAGTGCAAATTCCTGAAAGAATCTTGTACTTGTGTCTGTCCCGTCTTACATCGATCCATGGAGCAACCGCTGCAACTGATGACAAAGTTTTCCGGCAAGAGATGTTTTGGAATGCTTGATGGAAGCGGCGACATTCCATATGTCTGTAGTAATTCTGGGGTTACCTGTTGGCGAGATATTTTGTCACATAGAATATTACGTACCAATGTAATGTGCTTTGCATGGAGTTTGATATTAAACTGTACAAGAATTAGAACAATGCACGCAAAATGACAGCATGTTGGTTCTTAAACGTTTGTTTGTTAATGACTGTTACTATTGGTATGTTATCACAGTGAAAAATTAGGTTCGAATTACCCAACTCTGCGGCAAACATAGTTATTATTAGGTAAATTGGATACAATTCAAGGACCATGATATCAAAGAATTGCCATACGTTCAGCCACTTGTGGCCAATCCACTGGCGACCAAAAGTTACATCAAAAGCTAGCTTTGAAGCATCGGCATAGATATGCAAGGTGTTTGAGTTGTTTGTTTGTGGTGGTTTAATTATTGTAACTCCGTTATAGTGCTCTTCAAAAAATTAAGAATTATATGATTAGATCTTCTTGTACCCCAGGTCTTAGTTTAACACATTGCATTAGGTTAGTTTTCCCATATGTGAGATCATAGAGTCGTCATAAGAATGGGCGTCCCGGCTTGATTACCGAGGTGGCAAACTGTAATTTTTTAACTAACGATAGTAACTCTTTAGTAGTGACCGGTTGTTTGCTAATAGTGGTTTCTACGTCGTTTGTATATTGTGTCAGTTTATCGAATTCTGGCTTCCATTGTATGCGTATCTAATTCGATTCCCGGGAACGTGGTTAGCCAAACACTTTTCCTATCCGAGAAGTGTACCCCGAGTCGTTCTGTGAGTGCTATAAATTTATGAAGGCGTGATCGACAATGTCGTTTGTCTTGTGCTATGAACAGAAAATCGTCAAGCATTTTTACTACGTGGGGTATCACTAACTTTGTTTTTGAAATGTATGTATGACCTGTCGAGAACGCTTCAGATATCTTACAAGATGATGCGCATCCTTGCGTTAAAACTTTACCGTAATAGTACCCGTTCCAGTAAAATTCTGTTAAATGGTACTGGGATGGGTGAAGCGGTATTATTCGAAATGCTTCGCTGATGTCGCTTTTGGCAAGGAATGCCGGTCGGGCCATGTTTTGTAATATTTTTATAGCAGTAGGGATGGCGTCATATTTTACGGTTATGTGTGTTTCAGATATGTTAAAGTTGACTAAACGGTAATCGTATGGATTACTTACTTACTTTGGTTTACTTTGGTATAGAGTCTGGAAGCGTTGCTTATTCACTCATTCCTTGACGCTTATTTTGAACATCACCATTAGGACAATGTTTAAATACACACTATCCTATACCTTACACTTTTACACTGATTGTACTGTAGGCCCTACTAGAGAGGTACATTCCCAATACATTACGGTCTTCCACTTCTATAGCGCATGATACAGCGCATAACAAACGTTATGTAACCACCAATATTACTCAGGTCCAGTGACTTCATTTTTACTTTTGTAGTAATGTCCAGCAAATGCTAACCTTCCAGCCCTCAAAGTTCTTGATATACAGTGGGAAATATCTCCATAGGCTTAGCCAGCAAGCCGTCCGGCCGTCTTTTGGATGGCCGACAATTATTTAGGACGGCCTCTTTTACCGTGACAGCTTTCCTAGCCTAATCGGGCCTGGTCTAAATATAGCAAATTCGTTATATTCTTTAAATCTATCGAATGTTACATTAAACTAAAGCTAAATAATATTTACGTTTGACAAAAAAAAACATATATATTGATTGATTGAACGTTGTTTTCGTACCAATATTCGGATGGGATTCCCAAAGATGAACGTGGCCCGCCCATTGGCTTAGTGCCACGCCCACTGGCTTCCATTGTGGACGGCCTATTTCATTTTTCTGGCTAAACCCTCTATCGCCTTACATAATACGTTGTTTATAGTTGATATTCAAGGCGTGTCTGAGTAATCTTGTTTAACAACCATTAAGTCCTATCTCCCAAGAATATATTCATTTATCTTTTTATAGAAATTCCGCAATAAGCAATACCGTATATACTCGCGTAGTTCCTATAAGGTAGTAAGTTCACAGTAGTAAGTTCACGTGTTACGGATGATCCGCACATAAGACGAACATGATTATAAAAATCTAAAATTTGAATGTCGTGCGTATTAGACGACTCCCTTTTTTCGATCGTAATTTGCTATTTTAAGCCTTGTCCTACACGAGTATAATACGGTATTTGTTTTAAAACCCTACGTCACCTGAGCGTTAGAGGATTCCCCCATACAGTGGCGGATTCAAGGGGAACCCCGGCTCGGGCCCCGTAAATATTTCAAAATCATTTTAGAAAAATGGAGAAAAAAAAATGAAAATTTTATTCAAATCCTGAGAGTGCCATTTCCGGCCATCTAGAGGCGACGTAATCTTAATTTTTATTACCTCAGCCCCAACCATGGCGGAGGGCGGAAGGGGGGGGGGTGCTGAGGTGTCCATCTGTAAAGATCCCTCTCTGGTCACCCTGTATTTCCAATTTCTGGATCCACCACTGCAAGGACCACCCCATGAAAAATCCTGGATCCGTGCCTGCTAACCTACCTAGGCATAGGTTGTCAGATCAGACAAACTAGGCTTAGCCCAACTTGCCTTCAATTAAATAAAATAATACACAAGTTTTTTGGTTCGACGTCGTAATAATTTACGTACGAAAGTGCGTTCTTCATGTCAATCGGTAGCCTGGGTTCCAGGCCCTAATTTTGGGTTACTTACTCTTTATTGCACTTAGTGCGCGCCATACCTAATTTAATTGGCGTCCGTCTAATACTCGATTTCTCCTTTTTTCGTTATTTCCGTCTCTAAATTAACTTTCTCGTTGGTGGCGCTGTCCAGAATGAGAAAAATAATAAAAAAAATAAGAGACTTGTGGCAAGTCTAATCTATCGGTTCATCGATCCATGGAAGAAAGACTACGTATCCAACTACTCAATATTGTTGGAATATATACATTGTTGTATAATAATATATTGCCTATGTCTTTGATATTTTTTCTCTCTTTATGTATTTGTCTAAAGATAAAATTACCTGACCTTTTTAAAGAGGGGGAAATCTTGAATGTTGAATAAATTAAAGGTTATTAAAAGAGTCCTCAGAAGTAGGGAAAGCTAATTTCCGGCCATCTAGGAATTTCACCGCGGAAATTGGTTAAACCTTTATAAAGCTGAAGCATGTACTGATTATTGCATTTTCAATCTTCTGATGAATTTCAAGACAGGAAACTGCTTCGTATCTTTTGAATTCAAGGTTATTTTCTTCATTCAGGTGTATACTAATTATAATCTGTACTATTATTATATTATATTTCAAAAGCAATTGTAATGTCGGCACGCCCGATATTGTTTGATTAGTTGTTTAAATATTTTGTACACGATTTGAATGATGTTGTGTAAACATACTTCATCAATACGTTTTAGTTCTACATCGCTACAAATAGTGCCGATGATTGTTCTATTGGCGTCAATCCCGGCCTCAATATTTTTTTAAAGTTTTAA